CTTAATTGAATGCAGCTGTATTCAACACAGCTCAATGCAGGGGAAAGTTTGTCTTGGGATAAACGTTTTCAACTTGGATGAACGTGCGAAGAGACTTCAGTTATATTGTAGATATTTTATTCTCCCTTTCACCCACTTCCCCAAGCGCTCGAGCTCTGTGTCATTGGTGACCTTTTCCCTGGTCGTAGAGGTCTGGAGACACTTTTTTTGGAGACCATGGTAGTTGTATCATGACTCAGCTAAAGAGAAAAGGACTTAAAGTGACACATTCTCCTCCTGCCTTGAGCACACTTAGGGTTCTCTCACCTCAAACATTCAAACAATGAGCCTCTCACCTTCACACAGAGAAACAGAACGCTGTATCACCATGGGTGAATGTGTGTGTGTGTGTATATGTGTGTGTGTGTCTGTGTATGTGGTGCCTGATTGATCCAACTACTATTTTTCTTTCACTGTAAACTTCAAAACCTATATGACTATTCGTTTGTTAAGTAATAATGATTTTTTTACTTAGGTCTTGGTTAAATTTCTCTCCACTTTCCAAAAGCAAAACATATAACAGCAAAAACAATAAAAAATCTACCACCAATACACCAATATCTGAAACCATTCAGGTCCTTTTGTTAGACTGGGAGCTTGTAATAACAACAGAGACTTGCTTGGACGCTTAACTTAGGGACAAATCAAAGCTGAGTTGTTCTGCACTTACATGCCAAAGGTGCCTTCTCATGTGGCTTGGTGGAGTAGAAAAAGACCAGACTGGGGGGCGGAACACTGTTGTTCTGAGCCAATCTCTGCATTTCCTATATGCATGACTTGACAGTTTTCTTTACTTCGATCTCAGTTTCCTCATCTGTGAAATGACAAAATGGGCTAAATAAAGTAATTTTCGAGGTGGCGTGTGTGTGTGTGTGTGTGTGTGTGTGTGTGTATTAGAGTTCACTTGGGGGCTTGTTTACACTCTCCTTCTGCCCTGCCATTGCACAGGATGACCTGTGAGACTCTTGCTGACATGCAGTGATTCTCTAAAACAGATTGTCGGTGTCTTGCTCCATCTTCTTCAGGGTGGCATTAACATTAACTGTAAATGCTCACTGTTAGAGTCATGCTTTTAAATGGAACTCCTATTCAGCACTGGATGTTCTCCCTAGAAGATATTTCTGAGTATATCCATTGTTATTTTAGAAGCTATTAGTATTATAGAATAAGGAAAATCCTAGCCGGTTGAGCAATCTGATGATAATGATCAATGTTCTAGAACCATATGTAAATCACAAGATCAATTACTTAGATCTGTAAACATTATAAATTAATATAAATAGCACTTTTTTTTGAGACAGAGTCTGACTCTGTCACCGAGGCTGGAGTGCAGTAGCACAATCTCGGCTCACTGCAACCTCCACCTCCCAGGTTCAAGCGATTCTCCTGTCTCAGCCTCCCGAGTAGCTGGGATTACAGGTGCCCACCACCACGCCTGGCTAATTTTTGGAATTGAATTTTTAGTAGAGATGGGGATTTACCATGTTGGTCAGCCTGGTCTCAAACTCCTGACCTCAAGTGATCCAGCCACCTCAGCCTCCCAAAATGCTGGGATTATAGGCGTGAGCCACTGCGCCCAGCCAAATAGCACTTTTTGATTTATGCATTTCTATATTATTTGCATCTTAGGGTGAGCATGCATTTATTAATCAAGAAAAACAGATACTAAACTTTTTCTATCCCCTTAAAAGATATTAGTAGATTCCATTTCATAAGGTTTTGTTTCTTATTTTTTACAACATGTGCTGTGATGAACCTATTTTAGAAGTTAGATCCATGTCCCTAATTTAATGGTGATGTAAAAAGGCAAAAAGATTGATAATGGTGTTTGAGAAATCAGCACTCACAAGTCATATTGCCTGCTTTAATTATAAGGAAAATATAAACCTTATAGAAAAAGTTGTTCTCATTTTCCTGATTTAGTTTCTACCTAAATCACTCATATTTTTTTTTCTTATATGTTTATGTGGATAACGAAATAGAGCAGCAACGGATACAGATCTGCCTCTGACAGGAATGTATAGACCACAAATAATGCTGATGGCTGTTCTTTCTGACTATTCAAAAACCAAATACATTTATATAAAGTAATGGTATTTACGTAAAAGAATCAGAACATGTCTTCATCCAGTGTTATGTGTAATACATACGTTCACAAGAAAGTAAGTACCACGAGGACAAGACTTGGTTTTGTCCACTGCTGTCTGCCCAGGGCCTGTAATAGCACAGAGCCTGTCATAGAGGCACAATAAATATTTGTTAAATAGATGAGTTAATGAATCAGTGGGCTGTAGAGTGAAAGATGCTATCTTTATATAATGCCAAATGAAGCCGTTAATTACTAAAAAAAAAAAAAAAAAAAAAAAAGTCAAACTTTTTTGGAGTCTAGACAATACCAACCTGCCAGCTTGATGTATTTATCCCTCACCTGAATTGACTGGAATTATATGGGCTTTGTTCTGCTGTTGAGTGCATGGGGCTGCTACATGTGTAGTAAAATGTCATCTTGGTAAGCACCCCCACCCATTTGTTCATGGGAAATTAACATTTATCAGATAGATACACAGAAAAGACTGTTGTTGCATTTTCTTTTCCATTTATTTTCTGGGCAGATGATGGGTTTGCAAATTGTTTTTGGCGACAGAGAGAATGGTCATTTGTTTTTCCTTGACCAAAAGAACTGTGAGCCAGGATCCAGCCTTGTAGGAAATGTTCAGCTCTCTGGTTTGTTACAGGCAAAGGCTGTGAATCCATGCTAAAGGAATGCCACTTGGGCTGAGTTTACAAAACACCATGAGGTAAAGTCAGGGAGAGAAATGTGATACCCTTGTGGAGAACAATACCCTTTCCCTTATTTAATTAAAGGCAATTGAAGAAAGCCAAAAGCACTGGATTGAGACAGTTTTATACTTATTTGGCAAATTTAAAGTGGTAAATCTAAATGCCTAATAACAAAAGTTGGAAAGTTGGGATTTTGGATGATGCTTTTTACATTTAACAACATTGGGGTTCAAGGTGAAAAGGCTCCCTCTACTCATATCGATAAAACTTCTCTTTAGTGTCAAGTACCGGGGCACACAAAGACAATTCTGTACAATTCTCCTATATTCCTTTGATAGATTATGCCCCCACTCTGACCTCATTCTGTGATGGCCACTGATACTAACTGGGAGAGTGACTTACCAACAACAGCACTGCCACCACCAGCACCATTTATGGAGGAGTCATTACTAGGTTTGGGGCCTCCTTAGAACTTTAGGTGCTTCATTGCACTTACCCCATTCTCAACTAGGAGCCTTATTCTCCTCATCTCAGAGCCAAAGAAAGGCTTATTTAACAGATAAACTAGAGAAAGTACATGATTTGCCAAAGGCAGTAAATTAATGTTGCTTGTTTTCAGGTTTCTTAGTAAGAAAGAAGTGTCAGCTGTAGCTAATAATTTAAAAAAAAATGTATTCTTTTAAGGCAGTAGCCTTCAAATGGGGTGCAAGGACCAGCAGCGTGGCACCACCTAGAAGCTTGTTAGAATTGCAGAATCAATCCCAGCTCCACCACAGATCTACTGAATCAGACCAGCATTTTAACAAGATCTCTAAGTGAGCAGTTGCACATTCAAGTTTGAGCAGTGCTGCCTTACAGTTTTGAACTGTTGCACACAGGTTGATCTTGGAATGTAGATCCCTATTCCAAGGAGTTATAAAGCCATTTGTTAATTTTGACCTTGTCCAAGAAAACATACCTTTCTATTAAATATTGGTATTACTGGACAAGTCTCCAGTCTATTCAGCTCTGAGCAACAGTAGGCATGATTTCTGTGACCTCCCCCATGAAGTTAACCCGGTGTCATGGGATCTTAGCACTCCCAGAGAGGAAAGGTCGGGGATATTATTTTTCAGGTGCTTTCTGAGCACCAATCATCAGTCACCTGGGGCAGATTTGTAAGCCCTTCCTCAGATCTAACAAATCTGAAGAGGGGACCAAGGCTCTGCCTATTATTCAAGCTACTGGCTCAGGGTAAGGAAGACCCCAGGGAGGGTAGTGATGAGTATTTCAGGGAGATCATCCTAAAAAATAGTTTTGCTTTTTTCAGTAGCTTGAAAAAAACATTTAAAACAGTAGTATGCACATGAGGGCACCGCAGAGTTCTTCCAGGAAGAAAAGGCACTCTGCCGGCTTCTTCTTTGAATGCTTGAGAATAGGGACGAGAAATCCTGCGGTTTGCCCTGTGTCTTTCTCCCTTTGCCCTGTGTCTTCCTCAGGGAGAAAGGGAGGACCCCGTTCTCCAGCATCACAGCCAAGGAGGAGACGCCAGTCCACACGCCTCCCTCTTCCCAGTCAGAAACCTCTGTGGAAAGAATCCTTAGAGTTTCCTTTGCACTGGGGACTCACCGTTCTCTCTTGGAACAGAAATCAAGAGGGGACTATTGTTGGAGGGGTGGGGGAAGGAAGCAGGACCGGAAGAGAGCGAGGGAGAGGACCGGAATCGCCTCTGGTTCGCTGAAGCCTGGACAAAATGGGGCGTCTGCCTGGATGGAGCCTATGGCATCTCTCCCGTGACTGAGGCCCCCTGGCCACCTTCCATGGAAAGTGCAGGGAAATGAGGAATTTCATGTTTTCAGCACTGTTTGATGGAGCACCCACCTCCATCGTGCCCACCACTTGTTTCTTGCTGTTTTTCTAGTTTATGCATTTTTCTTTCCCATAGCACAGTGGAATTTCCTCCCCTCATCCCTACCCCAGAGAATTTTTTCAGTTTTTTTTCTTTTAAGCACAAAGAAGGGCCTTCTAGCATTATCCTAAAAAAATGTATATATTGAACATTTTTAGGGTGCCAAAGAGCTCTATGCTTAATCTATAAAGGCGGGGTTCCTGAAGTGCTAGAATTTGAATTCTTAGGGTGAGAAACATGTGAAAAGTTCTGAAAGGTTGCTGGCAGGCATATCCACAATCTCGCCTCCTACCTGGCTTTTAAGAGATCTGGGCAAGGAGGGACTATTCCCAGCATCGTCTTTCTTGACACTCAGGAAATATTCAGTGATGCAGCAGGCAAGTGAGAGGCTCCTCCAACATGGTCTGCAGGCCTTCTGGCACCCAGTGATTTCATGGCACAATCACCTGTCTCTGGCCAGGGAGAAGTATCCAGAGGCAGAGAATTCTTCTGATGGCAGCTTGAACCCCAGATCTCAATGGGATTGTTTGCGAAGGAAGAGAGAGCCCAGTTTTGAGGGCAACAAAGTGCTGCTCAAAACTGCATCATTTTGCAGAAGGCAATCCCATTCCATGTGTATTTACAGCCTCCATATGCTCAGACACATCCCACTATTTAGGATGACTGACATTGGCTCTTTTCTCCCTTGAGTTTCCTTGGAGCAGAATTTCAGCATCACATTTTTAATACATGCAGTTGGGAAAGACATTTAATGGTGAGAAAATCCCATTTCAGAAGGATTAGGACACACAATGCCGAATGTATTTGCTCTTCAATCAATATGGATATTTTAGGAGGGGTAGTGGTTTGCTGAAGTGCTATCGCTATGTACCTGGGACATGTACCTTAACGCTTGTGTATACATACACACACTGCCTACCCAAATTCATTGGCTCTTATAAAAGATTACGAGCCAGTGGGTTAGCCCCAAATTGTTTGACTCAAGAATGTAGTATCTGATGTTCAATCTCTTAAACTTCCAAACAGATTTACTGTCCTAATTATATTTTTCTTAGTGATGTTAAAAAGAATTTGAATATTGTTAGCTAGTGGGGACAGGGAGAAAATGAGAGAAGATTTAAGTGTTACTGCAAGCAATTCATAAAGCACTTCATCCACTTACTGTGAGATATTGTGAGAATGTGAGTAACGCAGGAAAGAATGCTACTTGGAGTCAGAGAATGGAGGATTGAGTATGCGTGCTGACACACGAATGGATGGCAGATCAGTGAACTAAAATGCATATGGGAATTTAGTATATGATAAAAATAACATGCATATCAGATGAGAAAGTTGAATTACGTAATTAATGAGATTGGGACAACTGTGTAGCTATTTGGGAAAAAAATAAACATATTCTTACTTGATTTCTTACATTAAAATAAATTCCAGATAGATCAAAGACTTAAAATGTTAAAAATAAAAATATACTGTGAACCTAAAATTTTGCTTTAAAAAATCTTCAGTAAAACAAAGAAAACATAAAAACTGTAGAGATGTGTTTTTTTGAATCTCAGAATAGGAAGGGCCTTTCTGGTTTTACGCAGAAGACTTAACATTTATCATGCATTTTATTGCATTACAATAAAAAGCTTTTTCAGGGCCAAAACTCAATAAACAAAGTCAAAAGACAAACAAAAACTGGAGGAAGCATTTGCAACATGTATCACAAAGAGCTTAGTATAAACAGAAAAATGAGCAAATGACATGAAACACATACTTCACATAAAATGAAATATAGTTAACTTTTAAACATGCACAAAATACAAGATACTTTAATTCACAATAAGAAGATGCAAATTAAAACTATGAGATACCAATTTTTATTTACTTGATCGGCAAAAATGAAACATTTGTTAACACACTTGTCTCTGGGGTTCTGGAGAGAGCTGTCAGATATTTCTGGTGTAACTGTGAATTAGCAGAACATCTATAAAGAGCAATTTTTTGAATGTCTATCAAAATGTAACATTGACTCCTCTTGATTTTATCCTACACAAATAAGATGCAAAAAGACATACCTACAATGCACTGTATCTGCCACAGCATTATTTGGACAGAAAATAATTAGAAATAGCACACTCATCCATTAGTAACAGACTGGTTAAATTAGTACAGGGCATCTGTACAATGGAATATTATGCAGACCCAACAAATGAAGGAACATAATAGAGTCCAGAAATGGACTCTAGGTATATGTTCAATTGATTTGACAAATATGCCAATGAGGGAAAAACAGCCTTTTTAACAAATGGTACCGAAACGATTCCATTTCTATAACAAAAGAAAAAAAATGAAGTTTGGCCCTTGTCTCACACCATACACATATATTAACTTGGAGTAGATCATAGGCCTGAATGTAAGAGTTAGAACTATAACATTTCTATAGGGAAACACAAGAGAAAATCTTTGTAACTTTGGCTTAGGCAAAGATTTCCTAGTTATGACACAAAACATTAAATAAATGAAAACATTGTAAATTGAACTTAATAAAAAGTAAAGACTTTTGCTCTTCAAGAAAAAGATACCGTTATAAAAATAAAAAGACAAGCAATAAACTAGGGGAAAATATCAGAAAATATATCTTATAAAGGACTTGTTTTAAGAATATCTGATAAAGGACTTATTTTATGCATATTTTAAAACTCTTAAAATTCAGTAATGAAATAAACAACCCAATTTAAAAATGGACACAAATTTTGAAAACTTAAAAAAGACATAGAAGTGGGAGATGAGCACATCAAAGATACACAATATTGCTACATTATGAAAATGCAAACTAAAACCCTGTTGAGATACCACTATACACCCAGTAAAATGTCTAAAACGAAAAAGATAGAAAATATTAAGTGTGGGTAAGGATGCAGAGAAACTGAAATTCCTGTATGTTGCTGGTAGGAATGTAAAAGGATACTGCCTCTTTGGAAAACAGTTTGGTAGTTTCTTAAATAGTTAAATATATGCTTACCATTCAACCCAGCCATTTTACTCCTGGGTAACTACCCTCAAAAACTGAAATCATATGTTCCCATGAAGACTTGCACACAATGTTCACTACAGCATTATTCTTAATACCCTCAACTGGAAACAATCCAAAGGCTGATAAATTGGTGAGCGGATAAGCAAAAGCTGGTTTGTCTATGCAATGGAATACTACTCAACAATAAAAAGGAACTACTGATATACGCAACAATGGATGAATCTCAAAATCATCATGCTAAGAGAAAGAAGCCAAGGAACCAGACACACAATAAATGTTGAATGCTTTTGTTTATAAAAAATTTCTAAAAGCACAAAACTATAGAGACAGAAAGTAGATTAGTGGTTTCCTAGGGCCAGGGGTGGGAATGAGATCGGCTGCTAATGGGCATAATGGAACTTATTGGAGTGATGAAATTATTCCAAAATTGGATTTTGTTGATGGTTGCACAACTGTATAAATTTTCTAAAACTCAATACACTGCATATTTTAAAACACATAAATTGTATATCATGTAAATTATACCGCAATAAAACTGTTTAACTTGAAAAAAAAATGAGGCAGCTTTATAATTTTTGATAAGGGAGCAATCTCCAACCTGGATAGTTAAGTAAAAAGGCCAAGGGGCTTTAATTCTATAGAGTGCTACCACTTTTGTAATTTTAAAAAAGTACATTTTTTTATATGTATAGAATATCTCCAGAAAGATACAATAAACTTGCTAATAGAATTTGCCTTTGGACAGGGAGCAGGATGGCTGGGAGACAGGGATATAAGGAAATATTTAACTGTATTTCCTTTTTGTACCAGGGAGAGGGTGGGGTGGGGTGGTTGAGACCCAGGTCAGCCACACCAGCTCTTTTATAGTGGGCAAATGTCTGAGCCTTTGTTTTCTCATCTGTAAAATCAAGTTGATCTCTAAAGATACTTCTGATTGTAAGTTCCATGCTCTGGGAATTTCCCTAAGGATGAGCATCTCACGCCTGTCAACATTCCTCTCATTCTTTCCCTGCCAGCATGTCACCAAATGCCACATATAAAACCACAACCAAAGGCTTTGTTCCTTCTCACCCAGTTGCCTCTTAGTTTATTGGGGCCCTGTTCTCTTCACAAATATGAAAAATATGTCAACCACTGTGAAATGGCAGCCTAGAATGTTTGCTAGGGGCAAACACACAAGACAGTACATGGGAACAGTTACAGCCACGTCCTAGGGGCAGCTGCTTGAGAAGAAATCCCAACCACCTTGTTTGCTAGCCACATGACCATGGGGAGTTCACCTGTGCAGTTTCTTCATCTGTATGACAGGTATAAAATAGCATCCCCTCTTTGGGTAGGAATTAAGAGTGATAATTCATGTAATTAATAATATTCAATAAATGGTTAGCCCTTTTAATTGTTAATCTGAACTCCCCTACTCATGGGACCAGGAGCTTTCATAGAAGTGGGGGAAAGAGAGGCATGTAAGTTAACAGGTTGTATATTCATTACCACTGTGAACTGAGAGTGCTGGCGGTGATGAAATGGCTTATTTTTTCATGCAACAACCCAAAAGGAGAGGCTGGAATAAATTCTGCTCCCTGCAAGCTAGTATCACTGAGGAAAACTTCTTCAAGAAACTTCTTCCCAGAGTCCATCCCCTAGAGTCAATTTCATCCTGAAAATGTGATGAATGCAAGCTGTGAAACAGCAAGATTATGACATTATGCAGGGTGTTGAGCCAGTTAAGTTACAGTGGGTTTCAGTTTACATGATAAATGTGCCTTAATTGACATTTGGATTAAGATATTATTAAATATTAATACGGGGACAACGGCATAACCTCTTTGCCATGGTAGTCATTCGACAAAAATGAGTTGCTGCTTCAAATCAAATGAAACCAAACCAAACACCTCTAATTACCATGATATGTGCATGTCTATTTTTCAACTTTAGTCTCAGTGCAGAAGCAAGGGTTTTATCGAAGTCCAGACAATTATCTGTGGATCCCTGTAACTTCAAGTGTCTCATAGATAGTAGCCCTCCACACATACATACACACACGCACGCACGCACATGCAAATCCCTGACAACTTTTAAAGGAGTTGAATTTCCCCTATGCGTGTAAGGTGATAGCAGACTCCTTTCACACTCTGCTTGCCTTATACATGATCAGATCACATTCTAGAACTGGATTCTAGAAGGCACAGTTCAGTTTAATGGTTGCTCTGATTACTAAATCTTTCACGTCTATCTGCTCTCCTTAACTACATCAGAACTGTATTTGTCAGGAACTGTGTTTTAAACCTTGTTTGTACTCTCTAGGACAAGAGGCTTTCCAATTCTTCCTGGTCTCACATTAATTCTCTCAGATCCTTTGAAGAAGTAACAGCTCTTATTATCCCTACTTTAGAGATGAGTAAACTACCACTCAGAGAGAGTGAAGGATTCAGCTGAAGTCATATAGCTCCGTGGATCTTCAGGCGAATGTAGAGTTATTGCAAAAAGTCTGTACATAGATGTCAAGTGCTTAATGTTTTTGGACTAACTAAATAATGGTTTAGAAGTATATGTACCTCTATTTATGTTATAGTATATGTTATGTTATGGTCATTTATAGTAATTAACTCATTCATTGATTAATATAAATTTTAAAATGTTATTGAATTCAAAATAGCTTTTATTTTGTATTTTTCTAACTTATTAGTAATGTGCAAAATGGTTTTTTTTTTTAAACTTACAAGAAGTCCTTGAACTGAGAAGTCTGGAATCCATTGAAGTAGACCAAAGCTAGGGCTCACTAATAAATTACAGAGGGTGTTTTAAAGAATCTAGTTTTCTAGTTGCAAAGAAAATTTCCGTT